GTCTTTCTAAAAATAGAATACTTTAATTAATCTAGTAAGGCTTCTCTGCAGTGCTAGTCTAATAGACTTAATTATAGTAAGTTAAGAAACGTTCTTTAGATATACCTCTTAATTAGCTTTCTTTTTCTTAAAGTGCACCTTTTATTTAATAAGAAGCTTCTTTATATGCGCTATTTTATTAGCTTTAGCTTAAGTAAATATCTTAAGATTAAGTTAAGTAGTAGTAGCATAAGCTATAAGCTTCTTTATCTTAGCTTCTAATCTTATTACTTCTAGATTAGAGCTATAATTATTAACTTTCTTTACTAAATTAGAGCTAGTTAGATTAATAGAGCTCTATTTAGTGCTGCTTATAATAATAGGCAGAGTATTAAATAAGTATTTCTACTTAAACTAAGATAAAAGCTTATGCTATGCCTCTATAGAAGAATTATTATAGATACTAGTAGTATATAGAATTTATATAGTAAGTAACTTAAGAACTATTAGAATTAAAATAATTAGCTTAGTACTAAGAGAGTAGCTATTTAATTTACTTAAGCTTACTACCTTAGAACTAAAAGAAGAATTTAATTTATAAAGATTTAATAGAGTAGCTTTATTTCTTCTCTTCTCTCTAAGTACCTTTTTAGGCATAATAGAAGTAGAATAAATAGAACTATATAAGCTGCTTAAAGAGAGACTTAACTCTAGATTAGTAGAATACTAAATAGAGCTACTAGGTGCAGCTTAAGCTAGTTAGAAAGAGGTAGTATAACTAAGATAAGTTAATTTCTTATTTATGCTAAGAAAGATATTAATATAATTTATTTAGTTATTAAAAGTATTAGAAGTAGTAAAGTCTAAGCTAGCTAAGGTTAAAGCGCTCTTATTACTAAATATGCTATTAAGCTTATTAGTCTTATTACTAGAAAGCTTAGCCTACTTACTATGCTTAGATTTTAGAGAACTAGAGCTTAAGCTAGAATAATTACTAGTAAGTATCTTAGTCTATTTCTTCTCTTTCTTATCTTAAATAGAGGCTTAATAAGTAAATACTTTTAGAGAAGTTAAATTAGTTAAAGGTAACTTTCTATTAGAATTTATCTTTTAACTAAAAGAATCTAGAGTAGATTATAAAGATATAACTATTATAGCTTTCTTCTTATGCTTAGAAGTTAACTTAAATATAGTAGTTTTAGATTATTTGCGTTTAACGCTAGAGAGCTTATTATAATTACTAATATACTTATAGATCTCTTCTATAAGATTATTACGCTTATTAGTATACTTAGAAGTCTATAAAAGATTAGTATAATGCTGCTATATAAGATTAATAATTACTTATAGTTATAGTTACTATATTACTTATAGCATAGTTATATAAAGCTATTATCTTAGTTATAAAGAGCTTAATACTATAGTATAATTAGTATAAGAGGTAACTAGAATAAGATAAGAAATATGCCTTAAAATATACTACTTAGAGTTATAAGCAGCGCAACGATCTAACTTACTACTCTTATTAATATATTTAAGCTTATTCTTAGTTAAGTTACTTAACTACTTAAGAATATAATTAGTATAAGAGCTCTTATAGAGTAAATTAGTAACTAGCTTAGATAAAGTATCTAGAACTAAATTACTCTCTTTATAAGCTAACTTTTACTAATTAATTTAAGCTAAAGTATATATACTTTTTAAATTAGATACTTTAAAGAACTAAATAGCATAAGTATTCTTAAAGTTGTTCTTTTATATAGAAGTAGCTACTTTTCTCTTTTACTATAAAAAAGCTAAGTTAGCATAACTAATAGCTTAGAGTTTAAGGTAATTATAGTATAGAGTATGCATAATATACTTAAGTATCTCTTAATTAGTAAGACTTACTAGAGCTATAGTTAGCAAGTTAAATTCTTAAAGCTAAGTAGTAGAGTATTAAAAGGTTATAAAG